GGATCATGACATCCTTTGCTGTTGTGCCTATTCTTTCTGGAACCATGTTCTGCTTTCAAACACAGTACTTGAACCTTGATCCATCAGTTATTGGTCTATCGAAAGTTGTGGGACAGGTCATGGTCTTATCACTAACTGTACTCTACAATCGATATCTTAAAAGGATCCCGCTGAGGTGCCTTACCAGTGGACTTCAGATACTATATGCTTTGGCAGTTTTGTCAGATTTGGTCCTTGTGAAACAAATAAACCTTGTGCTAGGGATACCGAACGAGATTCATGTTCTTTGCTTCTCAGCTCTAGCTGAAGCTCTAGCTCAGTTCAAGGTCTTGCCATTCTCGGTTTTGTTGTCAAGTCTCTGCCCACCAGGCTGTGAAGGTTCTTTGTTCGCCTTCTTCACATCTGGACTGGTGTTTTCAGCAATACTAAGTGGAGTATTTGGAGTTGGATTGTCTACCCTGATCGGCGTGTCTTCTGTGGACTACTCAAACTTGCCTTTGGGTATTTTGCTGCAAAGTTTAGCTGCATTGCTACCATTGGGATGGATATCCTTTGTGCCTCAGAAATGGACTGCCGATGACAAGGTTGTAATATGAAGATGAAGTGGTGTTTTCACCATACAAAGTTCTAGGCAAGATCCTGTTAGGTAGTGACACAATGTAGATGAATGTCACTCACCAAGTCAAAACTGGTGAGGTTACATGTATGTATAGGTATTCAGATTCTCTTCAATCAGAATAGTTCTTCTGATTACTGTACATATGCAATACAGAATAGCCCTTATGCTTCCTGCTGAATATAACACACGGTTGCATTGAGTTAGTTGTCTCGTGAAAGGAGATTGGACTACAAAATTTGCTTCACTTGCATATGTTCCCAGTTCCCATACCATTAAATTAGATTCCAAATAAATTGACGTTCAGATACAGCCTCTCCATAAAGATAAATAAATATGGGGCAATTACGTATTTGGCACGGGAACAAATCAGTCTTTTTTATTTAGCACTAAAAATTTTGAACTTTCTTATTTGGCATCAAGTTAAAATTTTCTTCTGTAAATGGCACTACCGTCCATTTAGGGCGTCCATCCGTCAGTTGACTGCGTTGACCCTGTCATGTTTCTTTCGGAAGTACCAAAATACCCTTCTATACTCGCTCGAGGCCGGCGGCTCGGCTCCTGCCCAGGAGCTCGCGGAGGCGCGGCGGCCTCTCACGCCGGACTCGGCAGATCAGAGGCGCAGGGACGCGCTGGGAGTTTCTCGCCCGCCAGCGCTGGCCCCAGCTCGCAGCGGCGGGGCGGTCTCGCCCGCCGACGCTAGTGCCAAGCCGCGACGCGGGGGACGCGACGGGGCGAGCTCCGCGACGGCCGTTCATGCGCAGCGTGCGTCTTGGCGAGGAGGAGGACGTCGTCGAGCAGCTTCTCTGTCCAGAGATGACGCGATGGCCCTGGAGCTCGACGCGACGCCGGTCATGTGGCTCCGGGCGTGGAACGAGCGGCGTCTGTGCTGCGCAAAACGCGGCCTCTCCTGCGCGCAGCAGCGGCACGCGGATGAGCGGAGCTCGCGGCCTGGGCGGCGTGCAGAGGACGCGGCCTGGGCGGCGTGCGGAAAGTCTGCTGGTTTTGGTGGCCGGCTGGGTCCCCGCCGTGCCCGCGCGCCATGAGTGAGAGTGACTCGATCATCCGCCCGATCTGACGGGCCGGCCACGGCGTACACGCGCGCGGGGCCTTGCGTCGTCGACCGGTCGGGTACAGTGACCGCACCGACCGACCGCCCCGCGCTGGCGGCGCTCGCGCGACGACGGAGCCGGGGGAGGTTCTGTCCGTTCGACAGGGCCAAGGCTTCCTCCCTCGTAATAAGGCACAGGGCCACAGATGCGTTCGTTTCCTTGTGTCCGCGAGCATGTATGTACACCGGGCGCTGCGGCGCCACGTTGCGAGTGGGACACGGCTCGGATCGCTTCGTGGCTTGGTGCCCGCCGTAGCCGCCGTACGTCCAATGGCGAGCAGCAGCAGCACGTCAGGCGAGCTCCGCGAAGACCGCGTGCTCCGCGCACCGTGCGCCCAGGCCGCGAGCTCCCCGGCTGCGTGCTCGGCCAGCCACGTGCGCTCGGCGTCAAACGCCGGCCGAGCCATGCACGGTGTGCTCTGCTCTTGAGCCATGATGTTACGACGACAGCATATACTCTCCTTTTCTTTTAGAAAACTAAAAGATAAATACCTTGAAAATAGAAGTTACGTATTTCAACCGATAGTCATCCTGAGCCATACATCCTTGATCTATGGCCAAGATGAAAGAAGAGTGAGGGGCATAATCTATACCTGCTATTACCAATTTGAAATTTATTAATTATTTATTTACAGTTTTCAATTATCAAAAATCCATATTTTAGTTCAAAATATATTTATGATATTTATGATTTTCTTATTTGACAACCTGTCTATTTATTTTTTTCCCTATTTAGCACCATGGACTTTTGCTACAATCAAGAGTATTTATGTCATTTTGGTAGCCACTTGACACCGTTACTAGTCTAAATGGACGGCAGTGTCATTTACGAAAGAAAATTTCAACTCGATACTAGATAAGGAAGTTTAAAATTTCTAGTGCCAAATATAAAAGACCAATTTATTTTAGTGCCAAATACATAATTCTCTCAATAAATATAGTCGTTCCACTATAGAGCCAGTTCTCCTTCTCCCATCCCAATCTGAACTGATTAAAAAACGGCAGTAATCCATATTCTGGATTCCGACTTTTTTTGTGTGTCTGTTCACCGAAACGGATCAAATCAAATGAATAAATTGAATTTGTATCTTATTCTTTTGACTTCTGCATGAATTCGTTTGGCTTATTCTGAAAAGTTTTACCATGTCTGATTGAAATTGAATGGAAGTTCAACTGACAAATGATAAAATTCCCTCAAGATAGTGGCACCTTCCAGTTCCGCAGCACAAAACACAGAGACAGCACAGGGAAGCAGAGGCATGGAAGAGTCATCCAGAAGGATAGCAAACCAGAAGTAGTAACACCACGAGTCCACGACAGATTTTTCTGTTATTTCATAGTACAAGACAGCAGCTTCATGCTACATGAAGCATGAACAAGGAACAAAAATGCATCTACCAGAATCTAGGATACTTGGAGCGCTGAATATATGCTATGTTTGTTTGAAGTTGTTGCAACTTGGAAGCCAAGACACGGCTTTGCTCCTTTTTGAGGTTTCGGCAAGTTTTGGGACGCATCACAATGCTTGTGCATTTGTTGTGGCTCCCACGAGACAAGCAGGACTAACAACTATCTTGTATAATATTACTAATAACTCAACTGTTCTATTTTTGCACGGAGCGAACATAGGGAGGGCTAGCAGGCAACCATAGTACTCCCTCCATTCCAAATTATAAATCATTTCAACTTTCTTGGAGAATCAAAACACCTCAATTTTCATAGATTCTGTTCAATGCCTGATAGCAGTTTTGGTCATTTTCCTTTAGGTACAAGTGCAAGCAGAAGATCAATATGACGAAGTCAGGAAGATGATGATCAGCCTGCATGCTACCGTGAAGCTACCGTGAAGATCGATATGTCATTGCTTTTTTATTTTTGCTGCCCTGTTCTATATTAGATCATTTTTCCTTGCTGCGTACATGCTGCCACCGTGAAGCAGCAGCAATCATGTCCCAGATCCACAGCGAGCTGAATGTTCAGTTAAAAAAGAATGCCAAGGAGGCTCTCTGTTTGCTTGTGGGTGAAAGAGAATTCTTTAGAACTATAGTATGAATATTTGTAACCTTTAGTTGCTTGTGGGTGTGAAATCATGTTGTATCAAAAAGCAACACAAGTGTATACTAAAATGATATTCATGATTGATCATGACTATAGTAAGCATTAAACCACTTGCACTTGTTTGTGGGTTGTACGAGCTATCTGTTTAGTTGTCTGTGTTGTGGATTCCAAAAACTTATATATAGGTCCCTATCCGTGGGCTATACATGCCCTAATGCTCTTAATAAGAAGAACAAAGACAATAATGAGACTGGGAACAAGCCAAAACATTTTATGATATGCCCACCAGATTTATGCTCCAGAATATTTCTTTAGATCACAACATGCAAGTCATGCAGTGGGCATCAGGCAGATCTGATTCTCCATGTGACTAGTAGCCCAGCCGGATTATTGTATACCGCAAAATATTCCCTCATTACATGGAAAATCAGATTAACACAACATTGTCAAGCAAACACATTATTTTAGGGTTTTCTAAAATCCGGTTACTTAATTCACACAAGTACATTTTTTAGGTGCACTTTTGACTTGTCATCAGGGCAGCGATGACAAGCTTGATTGCATTAAGTTGTTACTAGTAGGTAGCTAGTCTAATTAATTATGCTAACAGGCTTTGCGAACTCCAAAACAGAATACATTTTGCGAAGTGGACGATGACTCAGACTCCGATCCAATCCAATATATATGCATATACAGCGGGAGGGACGATTCCACTACTTGCAGGCCTTTCTCCATGTGTGCGTTGAAGATAGCTTGCAGGCCTTTCTACAGTGCTTCACTCGGATACACACAGAGTTTACACCTTTTAACAGGTTATTATCTGCTCGTGCATCTGAATTTCTCTCCTTAATTATGCGTTACTCTGTATTTCCAGTTTCTAACTCATAATCCTGCACTAGTCCTTCCTCTAATCCTACATGCGCAGTGCAGATGCTGGCAGCAACTCATAGCCTGATGTAGTTTCCCTAAGCAGAGACCATTGAGGTTGGGAACTCTTCTGTCTCTTCTTCCTTCTTTCCCATCTCGTTCTCTCCCTTCTCTCCTTCCCTCTGCCCAATAATGCCAGCCCGACTTGTGCTATTTGCACGCGTATCCCTGTACGTATGGATATGGTGTGCGTGTGTTTGTATTTGTGTCTTTCTTTCTCTCTTCTTGTCGTTTCTGAATCTCAATTCTCCTACGGATTTATGTTCAGATAATTAGACGTAAGTTGAGATGGACATGGACGCCAAGAAGCCTTATGCAGTAGCAGTAATCATACAAGTCATATACACGGGTATATTTGTAATCCTCAAGGCCGCCTTCAACCAGGGGTTTAATACCTTTGTGTTCGTCTTCTACAGCCAGGCAGCTGCATGTCACTTGCTGCTTCCTATTGCGCTTCTTCGTGAAAGGTGAGTAATTAGTTGCTCATCTGAAGGTGCAGGGGGGCAATGAAATCAAACACACGATCACCAGCCATGCATGCCTCATGGAACTGATTTCCCTTTCTTTCCCTGCCTACTCTGAGACAGAACTTTTATTTAATTTGAAGGAGAAACGTGAAGTCCATGTCGTTTAGGTTGCTGTCGAAGCTTTTCTTTTGTGCCTTAATTGGGTATGGATATCATGTTGTTCTATGATATAGTCTATCATCATGCATGTTCAGGTCTTCAGGATCAGATTAAACATTATTATATTCGATTCTATTGCAGAGATGGGATTATTAGTTATGCTGGTACGGTATATATAGTTTGCAGTGTGATAATGATATGTTTTGCTCTTTTTGCAGAAATACGTTTAGCATAAATGTTTTGAATGTAGCACTTAGGTACACATCAGCAACCGTGCAATCCGCAATAAGCAATGCCAAACCTGTTGTTACCTTCTGCTTGGCCTTGCTATTAAGGTACACTGCTACTAGAAATACCGATCAGCACAGTTTATGTTATTGCGGTGGCAAATTATTAGCTAGTAGAGGATCAAAGAAATATATATATATGTGTGTGTGTGTGTGTGTGTGTGTGTGTGTGTGTGTGTGTGTGTGTGTGTGAGTAGTGGATTTTTAATTGCATGGGGTGCGCAGGATGGAGGTGGTAAAGCTGAGGAGCCAGCATGGCATAGCCAAGGTGACTGGCGTTGCCCTCTGCCTTGCCGGAGTCTTCGTCATCGCCTTCTTTACGGGGCCGGCCTTAAGCCCTGTAAACCATCACCGTGCCTTCCACACCGGTCACGCTTCATCAGATCCGACGAGTCGGGTGACATGGATCAAAGGGACGTTCCTGAAGCTCCTCGGCGACACGGCATGGTCTCTGTGGATCATCTTTCAGGTCTGTTAATTACGTTCATGGACAATCAGATCATCAGAGTGCTAGCCGCTACAACTAATGAGCTGCAAGAATAAGCGAAATTATCATGTAGTAGTATATGTAATTATGTATATAACATATGGTTGATTCCATTGTATGCAAAATGCATGCAGGCAGCGCTGCTGAAGGAGTACCCGAACAAGATGCTTGTGACCGTGACACAGTGCGTCTTCAGCACAGTGCAGTCTTTCGTTGTGGCAGCCGTGGCCGAGCGTGACATGTCCAAGTGGAAGCTTGGGCTAGACATGAGCCTGCTTGCCGTCGTATACAATGTGTGATAACACTGACTTCCTCTCCTTCAATTATTTCCACCTAGTTAATTCGTTGCAACAAATGCCCTGCTTGCTTATTCTTTTGTTTGGGTCAACAAACTGAACGACTCATGGCTCATGGATCAGGGATTTGTAGTTAATGGGGTGTGCTTCTACCTGCAAGTATGGTGCATGGAGATGAAGGGCCCCGTCTTCCTTGCTTTCTGGTTCCCACTTTGCTTGCTCTTCACAATGTTCTCCTCCTCCTTTCTGGGGGAGATTATTCACCTAGGAAGGTAACTAGAACTAGAATGGAAGAATCGGAGTTTTATTTGACAGATGTTTCATGAACCAGACATACATGAAACAATCAACAATATAACATTTCTTTGTTCTCTTTTTTTCTCCTTGTTATTATGTGCAGCATTTTGGGCGGAATCCTTCTGACTGGAGGACTTTACAGTGTTCTGTGGGCTAAAAGCAAGGAGAATATGACTGAGCCATGCAGTGAAGCGAATGCAACGGACAGCGCTAAGATGCGAAAGAAGAGAAAACGCCTGAGGAGAATCCAATTAACTGTAGGGGAGAGAACGCAGAAAAAGTATCATCAGATTATGCTGTTGAACGAGTTTGATCGATTGGTCTGTTCATGGCTAGCTCTAGCTCATGCATATACGTATTTATTAATTTGCCATACTAATTATTACCAATGCATAGTCTCAAGTCATTTCTCCAAAGTTGCCATGCCCTATGTACACAAATATGATATACATCCCCTTGATTACATAGTCTTGATGTTTAGGCTCCTGAGGCTTAATTGCTGCATGCTACTGTCGACGGCAAAATCAAGTACCATCTTAATATTACTAAGAGCATCTCTAAGAGTCTTTCTAAAGTTCACTCTCTAAATTATCATTTGGAGAATCATTTGCATAAAAATTGCTTTTTTATATCTTTTAACTCTCCGTAGTTTTCTATTTCTTGTTTGCATTCTAGAGAGTCATTTTCGTTTTCTATTTTATCCATAATAGAAGGTGGCGATATCAGGATAACCATAAAGAAGCTATTGGAGGGTACTTTCACCAAAATCACTATTCCTAGCAATTAGAAAGGATATAGAGAGTCTCTTGGAGTTGCTCTAATCTCCTAATTAATCCTCATGAGAAGCGCTAGAAAAAAAAAGATAAATCTTAGAAATTATCATAACAATTAGAAAGATCTGCCTTTCAATTTGACAGACTCTAATAATCATCGACAATAATAACCGTTGGATCTATTATGTTTTTTTTTTAAAAAATTACCCACTTTAACTATTATGAAAAACAAATAAAGTCACTCCTAAATTTGCATCCAAATTACCTAACTTTGTCATTATGAATGATAATGCAAAGTAAGCCCTAAACTTCCTCTTAGATTATCCATGTCTACCATTATTAAGGATAATACAAAGAAACTTTTTAAATTTGTAGCAAAATTACCCAACCCTATAGACATAAAAATAAACTAAACTCTTCAAATCTACGTCTAAATAACAATATTGTTATTACAAAAAATAATTCAATAAACATAAGTTATGAAATATATGTTTCTAAACTACACATGCTTCTATCATGGTTAAACTAAAGCATAAATGCTATGAGATAGCATGTAGACCAAATCAATTTTTATTTGTTACACATTAAATTTATCCATGGAATTTTTTAATACTTTCTCCAAGCCATCTCTCACAAGAATAGTCACCAAAGTATCAAACCTCGGTGGTAGGCATCTCAAGAGCTGATGTGAGAAATCCTTGTCTTCCACCTTCTTACCCAAGTTCTTCAAATCATTGTTGTTTGGAGCCTATAAAACATCTCAGGTATTGTCTTTCCATCTTGCATCTTGAAGCTTGTGTACTTGTCCTTGAACATGTACAATTTGGCACCCTTTACCGCCTTTGTGCTCTCTTATAATTTCTCCAATCTACTCCACACATCATGAGCTCTCTCAAGATCCTTGATTTGCTCAAACACCATCATCAATGCCTCATATAAGATGTTGATTGTAATGTCATTGAATTGTAGCTTTTCTTCTTCTCCTGCGGTGGGATTGGTAGGATCAATCACCGCAAAGTCCTCCACGACATCCCAAAATTTTCTATTCATTGATTTCACATAAGCGCTCAACTTTCTCTTCCAATAATCATAGCTCGAGCGATCAAATAATAGTGGCTCCCCCGTATGGTTGATTTGAGCCATTGTTACACCGAAGATTGTTAAGCCTTAATCAAACATTGACCATGGCTCCGATACCACTTGAAAGGTTCTAAATGGTTAAAGAGGGTGAATAGCCTAATTAAAAAATTCTACAAAGCACTAGAGCAAAGTGTTAGATAAAAAATGGCGTTAAGCAATTTTTCTCTAGCTCTACTTAAAATGGAAGCCACCTAACGTATACTAGTAGCTATGATCTCTATATCAATCAATTTGGCTAAGTCACTACTTTACTATCTAGTGAGCTATCTAGCACAAGGTAAACAACTAATACCAAATAAACTAGCTATCACAACTTAACAAGGCAAGCAACTACTAACACAAGATATATGCTAGAAATGTAAATACAAGTGATAGAATGACGATACCGAACCAGGCAAGTGTCCAATTGTGAAATCCAATAAGAAAACCAATAGACAATGAGACACAATTTTTATCCCGTGGTTCGGTTGCTTGCCGACAACTTAATCCACATTGTGATGATGCACTCACTTGGTGGCTCATGCACTAATAGGCATTAAAAGCCTAGCATTATACAAAGGCACCGTAAGAACCAACACAAATGAGGGTACTCAATGTCACGAGTAATTTACTAGAGTTGCCTTTCGCGGCTCCCGCGGAGAATAGGCACAAGAATCCCTCACAAATCATCGATCGGATCGGAACCGGAGACAATCACCACCCTCTGCTCAATGATCACTACTGCTCCAAGCCGTCTAGGTGGCGGCACCCACCAAGTGTAACAAGAGAAATCCATAGTAAAACACAATTACCAAGTGCCACTAAATGCAATCACTCAAGCAATGCACTTGGATCACTCCAATCTCACCAAATAATGAACAAATCAAAAGAAGTGAGCGGGAATGGAGTATATCAACTCTAGGGGGTGTACAATATCTCGAAGTGCCAAGAGATCCTAGCCATTAGAGGCCGAAACCGGCCATTGAACTCGGGTTGCGGGACGTCGCACCCAAACAGTGCCGGTCCGACACCCTACCTGAGCCAACGCCGCTGTGCCACGCATCCCAGCCAAATTCAATCGACCGTTGGCCCTCCCAACGAAACCCTACCGCGCGTCGTACGCCATCGTTAGACCAACCGTTGGGTGTCGAGAGGTCCAAAACTATGAAATTCCGTCAGACCGCGGTTCGACGAGGGGCCGTCGGACCACCACCAGTCCGACCCTCACAGCGAAACACACAACCCCCACGCGCGCCTAGATGAACAGTGTTCGTGGCCGGTCCGATGCACAGTCCGAGGGGAAACCCTCGCTCTCTGTCTCTACTCGCACATTTTGGTCAACCGTCAGACCGACGCCAGAAGGGCCGCCGCCCTTGCCGTCCTGGATCCGACTCCCATGCTGTAACACGGCTCAGCTAGGGTTAGCCATTGGACTAGCAGCCCATGGGCCGACGCCCAGGCCAGCTTGGGTCCGACGCCCTCTTCTCTTCTCTTTCAAGTGCGATCTCTTCTCCTTTGCTCTCATGTGCCAACACCAAAGTGTATGCAACACTTGTGCACGTGTGTTAACATTTTCCAAAGCATTTTGTAAGGGCATGTTAGCTCACTAGAATCTAAATGCATATGAAATGAGTTAGAACTCCTAGTGGCACTTGATAACCGCATTTCACAATGAATTTCTCCCCTCTTCATAGTACGGCAATCTATCCTAAATCCAATCACGCACTCTATTGAGTCTTTGATTGGCAAAACAAAATGGCTCTATTGTTTATACCTTTGCCTTGAGCCTATGTTGTTTTTCTTCCATCACATGGACTTCGACCACCCTAACTCATTTATAAACTTAGACATAGGGTTAGTCTAATAGGTTTTATCAATTAGCCAAAATCAAACTAGGGCTTTCATCAGCTTAGTCGGTTTTTGTGACTTTCTCAAATTGCAAAGTGGACTTCAGCTTTGGATTCCTTTTATCGAGACGATTGAAAAGAGTATATAGAACGTCCAATTTAGAGTCCGCATGAAGAAAATACGATTTTGGGGGGAAATCCACCCGGTAGAGACTGGATTAGCTGATTTCTAAAAACTGGCTAAGCCAGTTTTGTGAATTTCATCAGACTGCATAATGAACTTCACCATTGTGTTTCTTTGTTAAGATTATCAAAAATGCAAATATGTGGAATATCAAATTTGGAGTCCGAATTGAGAAACCATTGTGTTTCTCTTGTTAAGATTATCAAAAATGCAAATATGTGGAATATCAAATTTGGAGTCCGAATTGAGAAAATAACGTTCCAGGGAAGATTCACCATGTGGAAACCGACCTAGGCTGGTTTCCAAACCGGCTAAGCCAGTTTCGGCTATCCAGAATGAGTTGGAGTTGTGTCCATGAGATAAGGTCAGCCCTCTATATATATATGAGAGGATCATGGCCGATTGAGACATCTAATCTATAAAAAAACAAAAATCAATCTACTATATATTTTACTCTTTTATGTCTTTTATCCCTTAACCCTAGTTTTTTCAACCTCATATGTTGTTCTACAAGCATCTCAATGTTCTTTATGAGCGTTCTAGGTTGTCTTATCAACCCTGGAACAACCCTAGATGAGCCTCCATGAAGAGTTCATTCCCGGGAGGTGTTTCTAGGTTTTTGCCGTAGCTAATCTGCCAAGCCTAGATAAGCTGGTCTTCTCTATCTCACTGCGAGATATCAATCCTCCTGTGATCCGGGCTTGCTAGCCGTTTAAGTGTGGGACCAGATTTGCATCAATTACAAGCATTTGTTACAACCGAATACAACAAGCCTGATTCAAGAAGATCTCATCTATGCCAACTAGGTGGAGCTTATCAACAAGGACTACGTTGACTTTGTTATTACAAGCATATATCAAATTAATACGTAACACCATCTATTGGAAATCACTATGCTGCCAATCGCCTGCTATATAGGTGGACACCAGGAGCACCAAAACGTAAACGATGAGGGAAACACCATCCATATGTCCCACGGTGTCACGGTGTGATGACCAGACGCCGGTGATGACTACTACCAAGCCGATGGTAACGAAGTAGACACCCAAGTTACCATGGAAGAAGGCAGCCATGCCGTAGCCCGTGATGGCCAGTCCAACGAGGAAGAGAAGCACCGATGGTCTTGCAAGATGGCGTGACGACCGTTCCATCACCATCCGGCAGGCCATACCTTCCAATTCAGTATAAGCATAGAATGAATGATGTGTGTGTATATGCATGGATTAAAATAATTTATACATTACACACGCACCTGCTTGCAAGTTAGCTCGACCAGGTCTCATATGATTACGAAACAGGAGTGTTAGAAGCAGCATCAGATATGACACGATCTCGAACAAATGTATTGGCATCAACGGAAACGTTTGGTCGGAGCGGCCATTGCGCTGGAGCCAGAAGCTCAACCTCTTTACCCTGATCAAGCCCCACGCCCAGAACGCCGCAAGAACGCTACATAGAAGAGCGGAGATGCTGCGCCGGGTTCTGTGAAGAACTCCAGTGCCGATGATGATGACCAGAAGCCCAGAAGCGGTCACCGTGAACATAATGGCCAGCGCCTCTCCAAGCTCAGCATCGGCGTCCATCCTCCTCTACTTTATTTTCTCTTGCCTGCTTCCTCCGGCACAACTAACACAAGCTGGGATAGCAGGCAGTGCTGCGAGCGAACAGGGAAGATGCGTTATAAAAGCTTGCTAAACCCACGACGCAAGTAATCGTGCATCAGGATTTGGTAAGAAGTTATTATAATACTGTATCTCGCACATCACATGACATTATTGTGCCCCAGTTGCTTAACCTTAAGGTCTTGACTGTTGATAATACAATTATATCACCCTTCTAGTTCCGTGTCAAATCGTCTGCTGCAAGAACATCGATCATGCATTCCTTCTTTTGCATGAATTCTTTATTGATATATTGCAAGTAGGTTGATATATTACAAGTTCTGGGAACTGGACACAGACCATGCACTGACATATAGGATTGTAGATAGAATTTTTTTCAGAAGTTAGTTTTTTTTGTCCTACCAACTTCATTTTCTTCGAGTTATCTTCAGGTTCATTTTATTGAGTGTATGTTGATAGTTTTTAATGGATATATGGTAGGTTCCTAGGAAATTTACCAGTAAGGTTGAAATGAAGATTTCGTCCATTTTATATTGTCTGAAGAGGACAAATCATCAGCGCCAAGCCAAGAATATTGGTATGTTGCTGATGTTTGGTTTAATACCTTTTTTAATATTGATCGATGCTCCATCTTCAGTGTACTATAGTGTTTGCGAAAGAAAAATGTTAAGTGATGAGTTCATTATAAGACATCAAACTAGTCAACACAAAGAAAATAGCAGTGGCATGAAAAGTCTCTTACTTTGAACAAGCGATCTTATTTTTGATTTGGTCTTTTGCATGAATTCAATCTATAGCTATATGTGCCAGAGAAAACTCAAAATTGTGATTCAAAAATAAGCTAGTCAGTAGTTAGTTGGTGTGTTGTCACCTTATAAAAAATATTGGTATTGTAGTTATGTTCAATTCTATGAATTTAAGCATGCTTGTGAGTTCAAGTAGATGTCGTCTCTCTGGTGCTTATAGTATACTGAAAGTGATGTCGTCTCTCTGGTGCTTTTTCTTTCTATTGTCCACAACTTACATTCACTTAACAAGGCATTTTTTCTTGAGAATAATAATAAAGTTCAAGTTTCTCTTTGTCTGTGCAGGACAATGATTTGCTGCATGATATCTTTGACATAAAAATTGATCATCATACTGAACATGTCAACCACCGAAAAGGTATGCTTTTCACAGCTTGGATGGCCTTGCCTTCTGCTTATAATTTGTCGAATATAACATGTCAACCACTTGTGTATCCTGACATAATACTCCTAGGCGTGTTGTATATCTAGGTTCTTCTTAATTTGTTGAATATAACATGTCATCTCTGCATAGTACAGGCTGTAGAGATTCTTTTTTCCCTACCTGCAAGTTATCCTTTATGTGGACTGTAGCCTCTACATAGCTGCATACTTTTACTATGCTATGTAGGTGTCATATGAAGAACTTGTAAGCCAAATCAAGATTTGATGATGCTTTAGAAGAAAGGAAGACCTTGCATTAGTGGATTCTTACACTAAGATAACTAAGAGCATGATTTTAGCACATGTAACTTATGGTAGTGTCATCTAAGTGCATTAGCTGATTCTTTCATTTTTTCTGTATTCTTTCATATTGGAGGACTATCAGCTGTATACCTCTAAGTGCATCTAAGTTCTTCACTCCTGTGAGTATCTTGGTCTAGTGATAGCTCCAATGTGCTTCATCTGTCATTTCTCGTTTTGCACTAAATTAGAATGAGTTAAGATTGAAGTTTGTGGTTGCACTGATATCAACAGCTTCCTCAAGGATTGTAGAAAATCTGAGATAAAATTCTATATTTCTGAGAGAATGATAGAATTGTCACAATAATTTTTGATAAGTTATTTACTCTTGTCATGTTTTTCAACATGGAAGCTAATACTCGCGCCTTCTAAAGTTTACCACTACAATGAACTATGCTTCTTGATCATAGCACTACAGTACTAATAATTCAGAAAGTTTGGGCCTTCTTATTATGTCTTACAGATGCTAAGTAGAGTAGTTACTAGATGCACCTAGGTACTGGACATTAGTGTAGAATGGTTATTTCTAAGTCTGGTTGAGAATGCATGCATAGTAATCTTTGTGTTTGCATTATAGTTATAGATAAATGAATAGTACTCTAATTATGTTGCATTTACATGCTTCACTCCATTTTACTACTCTACATTGCAGGATAGTGGCAACAAATAACAAACCATGTCAAGATCTTACAAAGCTAAAGCATATAAAGGTAAAGGATCTGCTAACAGCGCATCATCTTCGCTGCCACAAGCAAGTAGGTGCAGGCCACCGTCATGGCCACTGCCAGCAGCAGTCAGCAGACAGTGAGTACCACTCGTTCGCTTCAGTTCCTGCAGATTACGAATTCCGTTTTCATTCTGCTTTAGTGCTGCATTGACCTGATGTGTGACTACAACTCTGCAAGTGGAAGGATTATTAGAAGCTTCTGATTTTGTGATGTTCGATTGCTAAATTTGAGCGCCATTAATTTTGTTATTCTGTGCTCTTTCACATAAAAATCATAGTCACCATGAAATGTTATTACTATTAGTGGAAAGTTTAATAGATGAAATTTGTTGTTTCATTTACGTGGACTAAACTGTCCATCTAAAAGTCATGGAATATTTGTTATAATCTGGTATTGTTGGCACAAAATTTTATCCCGTGCCGAGGCACACGAGCAAGCCGGAAGGGTCCGCTCGATGGAGCTGAAGATCCGTCTAGCTTCAACACAGGGATTATTGATCCTGCGCACTCCTCCCGAGACGTGCCAGTCAATTTGATCCTACAATTGACAAGAAGAGAAAGCTAATTAGTAATTTAAGGCGGAACATACCGATGTTGCCGGACAGTCCCGAATGTGCGGCTCTAAGAGCCGATGTGGAAGGAGATCGACTAAATAGCCGATTCCAGCATACTCATAAGAATAAATCAGTTAAAGCTCATGGAGTTATGGAAGAAAAATCGGTTATCATTTAGGATGAATATCGTTATTTAGACAAATATTAGTCAATGGCAATAGGATGTCAATACTAATCAGTTTATGCTAAGCCAATAACTGCAAGTAACCGAATCTTTTTTATATAAAAATTCAGCCCATCATCATTTAACCATTTAATAGAGATAAATTTATGAACATATTAGATCTCATCTATCGCTATGACCAGTGGGGCATAAGGCAGAATCATGCAGGCCGTAGAAACAGCAATAAATTCGATGACCCTAACTTATTACTAATATCAGTGGGGCATGAGACAGAATCATATAGGCCGCAATACAATAATAAGATCATGGGGCTAACACATCTTTCAACCTACCTTTACTTCAACGGTCTGATGACGTGAACTGCATATGTGAAAACACTCGATATCGGCTAAAACAGCCGATTCAGGCATAGCGCACAATTAAGGTCATGCCCTATCAGGAATAGATCTACCAAATAACGATCCCCACTCCACGGTGCTAATAGTGGGGTGTGAGGCAGAATCATACAAGCCGTGATAACAGGTCATGAAACGATTTTCGTTAGCCAATAGATCTATTCAAGACCAGACATGCTTTAACCGCACACTATGCACGATCAAGATTGACATAAAACAGCCGATAAAACATAACTCATCATTTAAGGTGCAGATTAGATCAGTTTAGATTAATAAACGATGGGTTAAACATGATATAAGGCCGATCTAGATCAATCCCAATCGGACGAAGTGATATTGCTATAATTAAATAAATAATGAAAGCAATAAGTAATATCGGTAACTTAATGAATCTATCCGAAGGACGTCACCCTTAGATAGAGCCGATAACTTGACCTTGATCTAGTTCGAGCAGTGGAGGTCCATCGGATCGATGCAGCCTTATTTGAACTAAACAAGAGTCGATAACTAGCTTATACTAGAGTCGCAGTGGAGGTCGACTAGATCGATGTAGTACGAACAAAAGTATAAGTCATGACGGTACTTACAGACAAGCCGGAGGTTGGCCAGACCGATGCAGCCCTGCTTGCTAAAGAATTCGCTGAGATCTACTCTACTCCTACTCCTAAGGGGTGACCGGAGTGGAAAAAAGTAAGTAACGTGTATTTGATTAATTGTGTGTTTTTACGATAGCCGGGGTCCAATATTTATACCTGGAACCTACGCATGAATCCTACTTAAGCACGACTCATCACAATTTTTGGCCTAAGAGAAAACATTTCTAATTTAAGATAACTTGGACCCTAATCTTTCCCTTTTTGTAGAGTCCAACATATTTTCTCGGCGCTGATCGTAGCTTTTGTCGTCATCTGCTGGCGCTATCTGAAGAGAGCCGATTCCAGTGCTGCATTCGAATCAGCTGATACCGACCTTCATGCAATCGATTTCTTGATGACATGATCTTGGAAGCTTTCGAGTTGCTGCAATTCTTCTTCCAAATTTTGGTATGCCCCCTAATTTTGGGATAAAAGTAATTTTATTCCAAAATTATCACGTCTGTATCCCCGATAGGTCCGCAGTCAGGGGTAGAGAATCTTGATCTGGGGTCTACTGTTTATCACCGTCTATGTTAGCTTATGAGGCCATGCTTCAAAACTCTTACGAGAGCATCATTGCTTCACGGCGCTTAGATCCATCTTTCCAGGCCAACTATAAAATGTCTATCCGACTCTAGCGAGAGCAATTCAACAATTCAGCTACATTTCTCTTCTATCTGCTTCCTCGAGTGCCTCTGACTCCGCCTGACTCTCCATGGTCTATCTTTTTGGCATGAAGATCTTGCGTGGTTAGAAAATTTCTTGTGCATAGGGTGATTGTGTCGCTCATCTTAGCGCCTTATTGAGCAAGAGGATCAGCTACTACGGTTAGAAGAATTCTTGTAATATCACCTGAGTCTTCTCTCCATGCTCGCAGAGCTGTTCTAGTGTTTGTAAGGGCTAAAATGTGTGGACACCTTTCCTTTGTTTGCTCCAT